GACATGAAGTGAGCACATGCTATTAGAAAAATGGAGCTGACAGATTTGCATGATGCAGGGTTGCCACAAAGTTTTTTTTTTTTTTAATTTCAGGAAATTAAAAATTAAAAAAAGAAAAAGAAAAAATGCAATATTTGTGAAGTACAATAAAATGAGGTATACCTGCATATGACATTATCAAAAGGGCGAATCTATGGAAACAGTAAATAGATCGGTAGTTATTATGGGTTAAGGAAATGGCAGTCATGAATAGAAATACCAGAGAAGATTTCTAATGCAGTAAAAGTATTCTTTAAGATACCAAGATGCCAGATACATGTCTTTATACATTTGGCAAAACCCATGGACTGTATAACACCAAGAACAAACCCTGATATCATCTGTGTAGGTTTATGATTATGTATCATTGTAGGTTCTTTGATTGTAACAAATGTAACACTCTGGTGGAGGATGTTGGTAATGGAGGAGTCTATGCATGTGTGGGGACTGGGGACAGGGTATATGAGAACTATATACTTTCCACTCGCTTTCTATAAGCCTAAAACTGCTCGAAGAAATAAAGATTATTAATTAAAAAATAGTAGAGGGCATAGAACATGCCCACTACCCTAGTCCCTCTTCTTCCCATATAGCCAATTGTATCTTTTAATAGCAGGGTTAGTTAAAGCAGCCAAACGTCCTTGCCAGATTATGTCAGATTCTTGATTTTGATTTCATGGAAAGTCAGTGGGCCACACAAGAAAAGCAAGGATCCACCAAGGCAACATGTCAGTCAAAAACAAATTGTTGAGTGCCTGCTATGCCCAGGGCACCGTTCTGAGTGCTAGGAAGACAGTGGTGCACAAATCAGACATCCTCCCTGCTCAAATGGGGTGTACATTCTGGTGGGGAAAGACAGACAACACATCAGTAAAAATATATCAGATGGGGATAAATATTATAAAGAGAAAATGAAAGCGCCTAAGGAGGACAGGGTGTGCTGGGGGAGACAGAGAGGTTGCTGTTGCATACAACATGAGTGGTGCTGAGAAAGAAATGAAGGGGCCATCTGTTGGGGTATCTGGGGAAAGAGCTTTGCAAGTAAAGGGAATAGCAAGGCTGGAGTGGACAGGGAGTGGGGAGGAGGCCGAAAAAGAAGAAAGATTAAGGGTTAGGCTTTTCACAATTATATTGCAAACCTATCAGGTAAAAATTGGAATGTGAATTTTACATGACAAGTCTTGAGTACTGAAAGATTGATTTATTGTAGAAACCAGGGCACTGACTGGTGACGGAGCTAGTGAGTGCCTGACTGCAGTCCTGTTTGGCTTCAAAAACTTGCTTTTTCTATTAGGCTAAGATAACTTGGTAATCTTCATGAGGCATTATCAAGTCATTAACAGATTGATCCCAACTGCTGTGCCATATTTTTTGTCTTCCCAGAAGCCAGAATGGACCAGATAAAAGATATACCTTCTTTTCTTCTTAGATCCCTGTGACAGTTTCTGCCCATACATTTCTTTAAATTGATTCCCCCTGGCAGGCCCTCTGTCCTTTTAGTAGGTGTGAAGAAAAGCCAGGCTTTGGTCCACGCAATGTAGAACATCAAACAGTTTCAGTTCATATATCTTTTATTAAGAAATTCTCAGGTATGGGAGGGATAGTGGTTATCACGTTCGCCTCACAAGCAATGCTCAACTAGATTTTCTAAATACATCTTCTTTTCCACCCGTGAAGTGTTCCTTGTGGCTTTTGATGGAGGCACTGCAATATGGGGTTAAGAATGCGAGCTCTGGTGTGGCAACCTGTGTGGACTCTGCACCTTCCAAGTTCTTTGGCCCTAAATAGGTTGATTACACTTTCGAGTCCTCCTTATTTGTAATATGTGGTATGTACCAGTGTCCATCTCCTAGGATTCTGCTTGTGAATAGCTTAGACCACACTGTATGCAGCCAATGAACATTCATTTTTATTATATGATCCGTTAGGTTTCTTAAGCATAATAATCCATTCAGTGATGGAATTCTGGCACAATTATAGAAGCAGAGTATAGAATCTTTAACTCTCATACTCCAGCTCTTACCATTAACGCTCTGATCCAAGTTCCACATAAAACTATCAGCACATAACATCTAAAGTATAGACTAAATCTGGCTACATTAAAAAATGTTGTAATAGCTTCGTGAGTATTTTCTCTTCTAAGTAACTTAAATTGAAATAATTGTCAGCGATTGAGATTTTCTTTAAGGGTTCATGTTATGTATTTTAGTAAGTGTTGGGCAAAGAATACCAAAAATAATCAAGAAATAAAAAGTTAGAAAATGAAAAACAAAAGCTATCATTTATAGTTTGATTATTATGTGCCAGTCATTGTGCTCTGCATTTTTATGGATTAATTTAGTTTACAGATGATTTTGTGCTCATTTAATAACTCATTTGGTGGCATAAAATTATAGAAGAGGAAATCTAATCACACACTGTATTTCTACAATTCCTTGTGGAAACTAGTCATAACCTGTATTGATCACTTCTTTAAACGTAGTAGGAGATTTTGTCATCTCAGAAAAATCATAAGCTCTTGGAAGGCAGGTGAGATGCCTGGGATGTGGTTTCTCCAGCCCTCTGAGCAACTCATCTGAGCTC